GAGTGTACGCATAGCCGTGCATGGCATAGTCGTTAGACCATTGACCTCGCATCCGGCACGGAGAACGCCGGGTTTTCACCGGACCAGGTGGGGGGGGTGCGGCATTCTATCTCCCCATCCCTTCAGGCCGACGCAGTTGAGCAGACATTAACACTCTCAACCGAAGGCAAGGACGACGGACGGTGCCCTTTGTCCCCAAAACGTTTGGTGCGGTGTGGGGCAACGATGGATGGACAGCCTCCCCTTTGGTGGCCCCACTGGAGCGCAGGCGGCGACGGCACCTGCCTGCGGCGGCGGCGTACATAGCACATCTCTCGCGTCACCCTCTCGTGTGCTCGACCAACTTATTCTCCGCCGAACCCTACTACAGGCCCAAGGCGAGGAAAAGAAAAAAAAAAAACTGAGGGTACAGGAAAATACAAATTTTTGTTCACCGCATAAAGTAGCAGTACAGCCAGCTACGGTGCCGGAAATCACACGCCGGTGCGCACGACACCCTAGGTGACGTAAGATATCGCACCCCCTGGATCGCTTTCCAAAGTTCGGTTCTCCTCAGCAGAAAGAGTAGCGTTGTGCCGAAAAGCGGCGGCGTTGGGAACCGTCTCGTCGACATCTTTCTGAAAACGTACCGTGCGCAATATGCATTGTTTTCTGCCTCTGGAGTACCTACTTAGCCGAGGTCTGAATATCGGTCCGGGTGTGTAATATTTGATGGTACTTGCGGTTCGTTGTGGTTCAGCCGAGCTCTACAAATCAGTCCAAGGGGTGTGATATCTTGCGTCATGCCACCGACGGTGCTTCCGTATCGAGCTTCTACTGCGTGCGTGTCAGAGCCGAACCCGCGGGCCGTACCTCCTTGGTGGCCACGAGGGTGCCGTAGCACTTGTCGCAGACGCGCTTGAAGGCCGCGCGCCTCCCGGCGCTGCCGTAGCCCCGGCTCCGCCCGGCCTCCAGCTTCCACATGTTGGAGCTGCATGCCGAGCACACCAGCTTCAGGCAGGCGCGGCAGTGGTGCCCCCTTTCGTAGGGGGGGGGGGAGGGGGGTCGGTCGGCGGTGAGTGGATCTATGTTGGTGTGTGGTCGGTCTTTCAGTCCTACAGATGTGCGGCAATGACACACGCAGTCTTGCAGTTTGGGTTGCTCGTGGCGACTCACACACCGTAAAAGCTTGAGTGACAATTCCAGACTTCGACACGCGGCAATAGCCCCCTCCTTTGAGCGTCGATGTGCAAAGGAACATGGGGCAAATTTGTTGGGCCTTGCTATAAGTGACGGGGTTGCGATTGTGGGTAGAGAGAATCGGTAGCCTGTTCCTGCCTGCGTGCCTGCCTTCGGGCTGTATTCGTGGTGTTATCGCGCAAGGCCCACCAACTCGGGGCACACGATTAGTAAACGCTTGTTCTGAGCCGGTGTGGACTGTCAAACCGAGGCTGCACGGAGCTGCGGGGGACAGGGAAGAGAAAGAGAGAGTCGGGGGAACCATACTCATGTTTTGCATGCCTCAGCTGTTACCTGGTAGGTGTGAGACCATTGACCATGCGTCCTCGAGAGGCGGGAACAATATTGGGGGGAAGTATTTTGCATCTCTGTAATGGCTGGAAGGCATGAATCGACACTTGTCAGGCCAGGCGTCGGGAGCACACGCCGTGCCCAACCTATTACCTAGCACCACCCGGCTCCATGAGACGGCGCCTGTCTTACATATCAACCTCACCTCTTGCGGTGACTAACGGCCAGGGAAGCCACAATCACGACGGTCATGCATGCCATCTCGAACCACACCACGGTGTTCCTCGCAACTAACTAATTTCTCGGGGTGCTGCGGGCGAACATCGCTTCGAGCACCGTGGATGCTGCTGCAGCAGCGGTGCCACAACGAACACGACGGACGACGGTTGTACAGCAGCCACCCCTACATCCCAACTGCAGCAAGCGGTACGGTACAACAACGAACACGTTGAAATACGAACAGAAGCATACGTCCTGCAGCGGGCGGTACATTACCCCCCCCCTACTATTTACCTGTTGGTGAAGGTGAAGAGAGCATCGCAAAGCAGACAGGAAGGAGAAGAGTCGTCGTCCATCCACCCGCTGCGACTACCACGGCGGCCATTCCCTAGTCCTCCTCCTCCCCTTGCGGCACCGCGAGCAGCGGAGACCGTTTGGCTATCGCCGACGGTGGTACCGGCGCGCGGTCGCCTGAGCGTGGGCAGCGGTGCTTCAAGTGAATATCTCATGTGTATCATCACAAGACATTTGCTCCAGGTTCTTGTAGCTGTTGCTGTATGCTGTTCTGGTACATGATCTGTACTGTGATATCTTTGATTTGTCTAGACGACGAAGCCAAAGACGCTTCCTGCTGGTGAGATCTGTGCTCTCGAGCATTGAAGAAAAATGGTGTAACAGTGCGGGAGTCAGGGCGATGAGAGTACACAGGGATTCACTCTTTTCCGTTCGCGATCAGTACCACCTCCAAAAATGGACCGCCTTCGCGAGAAGTGATGTTTATGAGGAAATAGAACAGGGAGGGGGTCCGCAGAACCTATTCCCTAACCCTAACCCTAAGCCAACTTCCCCGATTGTATGCTTTATCCGGCATGTTTCCTTGATACTAAAACCCTGGGAAGGCTACTGCCAAAAATATCAGAAAATATAACATCCGTTTGTCTTTCCCTTTGCTTCTCTCCCTCTGCTCTATTCCTTTCTGTTTCTTTTTCTGTTTCTGTTTCGGTTTCTTTTCCTTTTCCTTTTTCCCTTTCTTTTTCTTTTTACTTTTTCTATCTTTTTTATATCTAAAGGGTTACCTCGCATAGCGTGCAGAGAGGCGAGCGGAATGGACTAGACTATCTGTCGTTGACTTTTATTGGCTTGCGGACCCTTCGGGTCCATTTTGTTTTCGTATACCTTTTTTTTTGGGTAAGTTAGCCTGTGACCACGGGAATCGACCCCGTCAAGTGTTAGACTAGTACGGACAGAAGAAGGTACTGAGCAGAGAGAACGGAACGGTTTTTAATGTGAAGACAACAACAACAACAATAACCGGTCCAACTGACGCGGACGACGTCCCTGGTCACAGGCAAACCACCCAAACAGCCAGTGCACTACACACCTGCGAAGCCAAAAAAATCAAGAAGATAAAGAAAAAAAAAAACGCCCAAAAGTAACGCGATATCACGAGCTACAACTATGTACCTGCTCCTGTCGACCAATAATTGTTTTTCGGTGCCAACACGACAGCGACGAAAAACAAAGTGCTCCAAACCAAAGCCCTCGGCCACCCTTTTCGCATACAGCGTTACAAGCCCTGTTGGTGGCATTAGCGCGCTACCCACAGCGAGCACCCAGGTACGGGCACTTTGGAGAAGACGATTAAGTATTTCTTGGCAGAGCAGTACTAAAAGATGGTAAAAGACCCTACCCACTACAGACTACTGTACAGCAGCGCCCGACTTGCTGGAGAAACTTCTCGACAAATCGGGCAGCAAAAATAAAAATCGACACGACGGGAGGAGGTAAATCGAAGTGACTACAGCAGTGTATCCAATTTGGGGAGAAGACCTTCAGCTGAAAGCTTGTAAGTGGTATTCTAGCCAAATAGAAACAGCAGCGAATATTACGCAATGCACACACTACAAATGCAATGGCATCGCGCAATGCGGACACAGCATTCCGCCCCTGAGCAGAAATAAATGCGTGCTTCCGCGGAAGGGCGTCTTTTTCTATCTGCTGATCCCTGCACTGCCAACGTTCCACACTACGCTACTGCTCTCGTGGTCCACGGGAACTGGTGGTACGTTGAATGTATATGTGCGGCCTGCCACATACAGGACGTAAACGGCAGTGCTCTTCAAATAGGTGAACCCACAGATAGATCCCTTCCCTTACCCAGTGTTGGAGGTAAAGCTTGGGCCATCATCGTCGTATATGTGGGAATAGCTCTCGGTACGGCCTCGATTTCCACCTCGAAAGCCAGGGGACTCCTCTGGATCTATGCCAAGAGCGATGCCTGCCGCCCACTTGAGTGCTCGCATGGCTGGGGAGCTGGCCACCACCGTTGCAGTGGACAGCAGTCGCACCCAGATCAACACAACAGTCGGGGGCTCCGTGAATCACAATTTGAGGGAGTTCCCCAGAGTTCCCGAAGCGTCAATGCGCAACCGTTTCAAGACGCGGCGAAATTATTAGAACCGAATAGAGGGGGACGGACGGGAAAATTGAACCGAATTCTCGTCGCAAATTGTGTCATCTCACATCTCACATGACACACCGGCTCTTCGCGATATCTATATAGCCCGCGTCTCATAGCCCCCTTCTCCTCAATCATCCATCTCTCGACTCCTATAGCCCTCTCTCACATCATCCCCCCTCCTCGGTTGGCGTCTCACCCGCTCATTCCAGCGAGAGCGACACGCGTCCACCACAATTCCCAGGAGCCGCTGCGCTGACCAGCCCCCACACCTACTGCTGGAGCGTCCAACCAACCCACCCAGTGAGCACTACATAGATAGCTGGTGCAGACAGACCCCTACTTGCTTCTAGATAGAGAATCATGAAATCAGCGTTAATTCGGCTGGGCGTCATCGCCCTCCTCGGAGGGAAGTGTGATGCGATGGGTGGTGGCACGGAGGAGCTCGACGTTGAAAACCCTGGCGCCGTCGTGCTCGGAGAGACGTTCGTCCTCGCATGGGAGTCGGTCGGGCAGAACTACTTCGATGTCGAGCTCTTCACCGACAGCTCCGATTGTGGTGGCAGCGCGGAGCCTGTGGACCTGTGCGGCAAGCCGGCAGGATGCGGCGACTCGAAGGGAGATCTCAACGTAGTCATTCCGACATCCGCCGGGTCTGGTGAACGTGAGTACCTTTCCACCTGACAGACAAACGCTTGTTGTCGTCAGAGCATACTGTCGTGTGTAGCCGGGGCTAGCGACCCATGATAGAGAGCTAGGAGCATCGATGCTTGAACCTGAATTGAAGCGCTTTCGAAACAACAAGCGAGAGACTTTCACCCGAACGATGATCGATTTTCGGCGGATTCATTTCGATGAAGGTGGAGACACCAAATAAATATAGTGTTGGTCAGGCTGTGATGTCGAAAAAGGGCTTGGAGGGTGCAGGGGCTCTCAGATGTACTCTGTAACTACAGCAGTAGCTCTCAGTTAGCGCGTTAGCGTGTTCGAACGATAGTGCGTTAGCGTTTTCGAACGATTGTCAGGCGACAAATGATTGGTTTGATCAGGTCGCTCGGTATTCAAGGAGCCAGCTTTTAGATTCATCATCCTGATTCCTTAATTCTTCCTGACTCACCAACGATATGGCAACCGTACACGGGGGGGGGGGGCAACCGTTCTCCCTAAAACTTGGGAGGAGGTCCCCCATGAGCCAACTGCTTCTCACACCCCTACATGATTT